GTTGGTTTTTTTCTATTTGAACGTCAAGGAATAAACCATTCAATAATGAGAAAGATATGTTCAACAAGCGCACCTAATATTTTACCTAAAAAATTACAAGTTGGGCAGTACTTGAATAAAAACAATCCGCTTGCTCCTTCAGAAACATATTCTAACATTGACCAAGCCAAGAAATAATAGGCTCAAGTTTTCGAGTTGACTGACATTACATAAATAGTCGCGAATAATTAATAATACTTTGAATAAAAAACGAATAAAAACCCGAATAAAACGAATAAAAACCCGAACAAAACGAACAATTCGAACAAGAATTTGTATTACGAATATATAGGAGTTCTCGATAATTTTTTAAACGTTTTGCATTTCGTTATAATTTTCCGCAAAAATTATAATGAATTTTTAAAAACATATGAAACTCGTTGAAACGCAATTAGTAATTTTGACATGACGATTTTAAATGCAATTTTCTTATGCATTCAATGGATCCATTGAAACGAGGTTGATGATGAGCATTGATTATTTGCTCGATAGTAGAGGCTTGAGTGATTTTTTCTTTTATATCAGCAGGATATGGGGAATAGATTTTCATTTCTTGAAGTTTTTCTACTTACCCTATTACTATTACTATTACTATAGAAAATTATGGTACGGTAACTCCGTATACTTTGTAACATTTATTAGTATTAGTATAGATTCTTTAATAAAGTACTTTTCACCCGATAAAATGTATGGAAAAAATAGTTGGTAAAGACATCAATAAATTGCGTTGTGCCAGTTTATTCCTATTCTTTTTATGTGTTAATCAATCATCGACCACTATCTGAAAGAATGATATTTGAACATGAAAACTGACTCGCTATTGAACTATCAGTGCAGTAGTAGTATTAAACTTATATTGATATTTATCTTTGACATTAATGTTTGCATGACTGAGCGCAAAAGTAAGATTTATTTATTATCTTAGTTCTCGCAAAGTCCATTCAAGAAGAGAACAAATAAACTATGTTCTTTATGAAGATGAACTTATCGGGAAGGGTCCCAAGTATGGTCTTTAATGGAATTAAGAGATCGAAGGGCATCTGAAAATTATAATACTGGTGAACAGAATAAAAATAATGTGACTATTTAATATTTGATAGATATTAAATTAAAAATTTCACGGTTCCTGAGCACGCAAAATTTAAATGTGATGGTAGCTTTGAATTGATAAAGAATTCTATCGAAAACAACTGTAGGTTGTGTGGATCACATTGTTAATGTTGTAAAAAGTCTAGGCCGCCAGATTAAATAAATCCAAATACAATGAAAGTGGAAAAGGCTTTCAATATTTTGATATTAAAACTAGCTTAGAGGGTTATCTTTAAAAGTTAAATGGTATTCAAAAGTTTTATCATTTTCTGATGTTGTAAAAGCTCAAGATGTATCCTTTCCCCTGTAAAAAATGACACCCAGAATATTTCCATTATATCTCCGTGATCATGTTTATCACTCCGTAAATCTTCAGTTTATTTCATAATAATAATAAGAGCAGTACAATTAAGAATAAGAAGTTTGATCGACAAACACTCTATTGGTTTTTTTGGAAACAATTTATTTTTTAACAATGACAAGTTGTTGTTTGGTACCTTCCTGAAGACGTGTTAATAACTGACCAGAGGTACTTTTTTTTAATTTGTAAATATTTTAATTGAAATCAAAACGCGGAGCAGATCTTGCTAGGTAATTATAAGATCCTCATCAAGATGGTGAATAATTGGCATTTGCTTTTCGTAATCAGTAGTAATATTAATATTATTATAAATATATAATCACATGTCAAGGCAGCACACCGTTGAAAAAGAAACATTTCGAGTATACAAGGACAAGGTTTGATTACCAGATATGTCGAGGGTAAGATATGTCAGGTTTAAGATACAAGGACAAGGTTTGATTACCAAATATGTCTAGGGTAAGATATGTGAGGGTTAAGGTATGGACTTAGGGTCATACCTTAACCTTGTCATATCTTATCCCCGACATATCTTACCCAGGCGTTAAAGTACGCACACTGTCTTGGACACTACAGTCATTCTCACGTTCCTCATTTACACAAGGCTAATCTCACCGAGATACTCTCAAAGGGATAGGACGATGCAAACAGAGTTCCATTCATCGACCAATAGTCAACGATGTTTTCACTAATCTTCCCCAAACCAGAGAAGGCTCTTTAATTTTCATTTGACCAATATTGGTGTGCCTAAATTCTGGGAAAATCCAAAACAGCAACCCGTTGCAGACACTGACTTTATTCTAGAGGGGTATAACACAAAGCAATCATCACACAAATGCAGATCTTCATCAGTGATCAATGCCCATACGGCAACAATCAAGCCTGGTCCGAGGGGAAAATAGGGTAAAGTTTTTGTTGACTTTTATGAAAAAACCTTCAAACAATTGGGGAGCCTTCACTTGTAGTAAAAATTTTATACAAGTATGGAGACGGTACCATTGTTTGTGGTAAGGAAAATTTAATTAAATCTGACACCTGTGATCAACATCAAATTTATTATTGGGAAGGAAAACCCTCCCTATTTATTTATTCTTGTGAACTACTGGTAGACATGCATTATTAAAAAAATTTATCTTGGTATTATTACTACTTGGGTGATGCAATTGTTTGTTATATCAACAACATCAAATGTATTGAATAATTATCATGAATATTTAATGGATGCAGATATTCACAGAAGGAAAGGATTAAATAACAACAAAAAAGCTAATTTTGTTTTTTTATCAACCAAAATATATAATTAATTAGATTTAAAGATTATTATCTTATTCCACTTTTGAATGGCATTAGTTTCAATAATTCTAGAATTGTTTGTTTCCTTAGCATCAATGATTGAATCTCATCTGGTGTTGATTAATTAGTTTTATGGACCCGAGTAATGGTAACATGTTTTTTTAATATTTACTTCTGTACCTATTTTATATTAATATTTTATATATATATTTAGAAATGTAATAATTAAATTAAAAGATATTTATTTTTCCAAAGGTTAATGGTTGAACGGAATCAGAAAGAATTGTTACGCGGCCATATTTTATTATTTTTAGAAAACAGGTAGAAAATTCAACATCAAAAATTCTATATTCTTATAATAACCATTATACTACTAATTATTAATCACTTTTTTTAGATCTGGTTATGTACGATCAGAAAGAATTGTTACGTGGCCATATTTTATCTATGATCAGAAACAGGTAGAAAACTCAACTTCAAAAATTCTATATTCTTGTAATAACAATTATACTATCAATTATTAATCACTTTTTTTAGATCTGGTGGTGTACGATCAGAAAGAATTGTTATCACATATAATAATAATATAATAATAACAACTAATTTGATTGTATAATGTTATTACAAGAACATATCAACTAGAATTTTTGATGCTGAATTTTCTACCTATTTTCTAAAAATAAATAATTAATAATAGATAAAGTATGGTCACACTGATATTATTCTTTTCATTGTTTTAGAAGGAGAACATGCAAACCAGCCTGCAGTAAGATTCTATTTATTTATGCTTTCAATTTTAAAAAAATTTTCTAGTCTAGTCTTAACACTTACATTACTTTCAAATCAATTACAATTCTGTTCAGAGATATGGGAAACTTCAAACAGAACATGGACTGGCGTTAACTCAAAGCTGTCAAATCACAAGGGTGATGTACCACATGCAAATTTTCGTGTTGCTGTATTTACATTACTAATCCATAATCTTTCAAAAATTTACCATTTTATCATGTTAATATTTAAAGATGGAAACTGCAATTAGTTGCAATTACATTTTCATATGCCACAACTGTTGCAACTAGTCTCAGTTAATTGAGGAGCCATCTTTAGTAGACCACTTGAAAATTTATTTATTAATTAAATTTATTCAAGAATTTACCCATTTTATTAATTAAATTTATTTAGTAAATGCTCATTCATTTATCCAAGTTTTATCCATTTTATTAATTGATTTATTCAATGAAACATCCATTTTTAATGAAAAACGGAACTATAGATTCCATGGAAATATATATTTATTTAATATAAACGGAAAAAACATTGAGTTTAATAATGAGTAAATTTTTTACAGGGATTCATGAATTCAAGCTATTGAAAATTAGGAAAAGAGGAATTTCCAATAAAGGTTATTAAAAACATATCCTTTACAATGCTGATACTCATTCTTGTGGATGGATCTTAAGCATCAAGAATATTTTTATAATGATATTTGTCCATTTGTATATGGGGCATGCTGCAACAAAACCAGACAAAGTGAACATTAGTGTTATCATGGATTTAGTCATCTTTAATGCAATTATAATTAACAGTTTTATAATGACCCATTTTATATTTTGGTTGATATAGAACTGACCCCTGTATAAAAATAGTTAATATGAAACTCATTTACATCAGATCTACTATGGAACCCAAAGAATTATAGTACTATCAGAAGTATTTTGAAGAAAGAACAAGGTGAAAAAATTGCTCCTTACATTTTTAAATTAGC